ATATATATAAATATATATATATATATATATATATATTTGTTTATATATATTAATAAATTGTAGTTTATATACAGTATGTTTCGTTGAGTTAAGGCACGCCAGCGTATATGGCGGTTCCGTATAGGATGCAGGTTCGAATCCTGTCTAAACGAATATTTTCTATGAAAATTTCGACATTCAGGCCGGTAAATGTTATTTAATACTGTTTATCATAAACAGAGCATTTGTTAAATACTTGTATCTATAAAAATAACAACGTTAAACATAAATAAAAATGTTTTAAAAATAAATTGTCGGACCTCGTCCATTTCTTAACATATGACGTCATTTGTTTACATTCGAAAACAGTTAATTGTACGAGATTCATGGAAGATTGTTTTATTTGATGCTTGTCTGTTCCTATTTTGGTTCATGGTTCCCGGTAAACGTGGTCAACTGGCACGCCAGCGTATATGGCGGTTCCGTATAGGATGCAGGTTCGAATCCATATGTCCTGAACGAATATTTTTCAAAGATAAAATTTCTTATATGGCGGTTCAGGCCGGTAAATATTATATTGCTATATAACAACGTTAAACATATAAAAATGTCTTTAATAAATAAATTGTCGGATTTCTTAACATATAAAATAATTCGATAATTGTACGAGATTCATGGAACATAAATATATATATATATATATATTCGAATATATTCTTTTCTGAAAATATATATATATTTATACATATATATATATATATAAATAGGTTCTTGCCTATGAACAAATCTATATTAATAACAACTTAAACAGAAATAAAATGGCGTGATGATTGCGTCTATGTTTTCGTTGGTTACCCAACTCGTCGGGCTATAAGATATAGCATTGAAAATAAACAATAAATACTGTTTGCCCTGCTTACCTGTGTATGCCTGCCTGCCCGCGCGTATACGGTTGTTACCTAACCCTATTCTTATATATATATATATATATATATATATATATATATATATATAGAATATATATATATATATATATATATATATATATATATATATATATATATGAACATAAGTCCCTCTATGATTGCGTCTAGCATGAAACAATCTGTCGCCCTAAGTGTTCAATGTTCACTTTTATATTTACATACCTCTATCTCTGATATTAAGCACTTTATCCCATAAATATAGCATACCTTAAAACTATATATATATATATATATATATATATATATATATATATATATATATATATATATATATGATTAATACAAATAAACTTCAATCACTGGCTATATTTTGAGATGAAGTATTGCAACTATTTACACCATTTACATCTTTTATTGCCATATTCAGGATGTTTCGGCCGTTGTACGCTCCGGTCTTCCTCAGTGAATAAAAGTGTTGGTTGAAGTATTCACAAAATTGACTTGTTTCAAAGATTTTAATACCTGGCCACAGCAGCGGGAATAAAGACTAAAGGGAATTAACTGAAACGACATATCCAGAAAGGCATGGCACGTGGAATAAATAAAGGGTTTAGTTTGAAATTTCAATGTATGTCACCCGAAGAAGCCCGGAGCGTACAACGGCCGAAATTAGTAAATATGGCAATAAAGAAAACGACCGTCTGAACAATGTAAATAGTGTAAACGAATAAACTTAGTCACTTAGGTGATTGATCCTAAATTCAGAATATTTTCATTATATATATATATATATATATATATATATATATATATATATATATAGTGAGCAAATATTCTTGGATAAGGTATGTATCCATTTGTTCTCACCGAAAGTATGGGAAAGTTAAAGAGCAGGACATACTCGGCTCTCGAACCATGTTTGCCAACAAGTTTAAAAGAACAACTTTGAATTGATAAGATTTCTCGAACATTTATGCCGTTAGATGATCAGTTTTAGACTCACTGGAGTGACAAGGTGTAATCGATTTTATTTTTTCCTTAGATTAGGTCATTTGCAGTGGTGTGCAGTAACATGAATCTATTTTAAGGGTGTATGTTGAAATTTGTTTGGCCTTGAAAAATATTTCGTCTTCCGTGATTGCATCAGATTTTTATCACGCCCAGATACTATTGTCTCGACTGTCGATTAGTTGTCCTACGGCTATTGTCTGCAATGAACATTACTCCAAGAAAGCATACGAAAATTGTAACGCTACACAAACACACTGGCAAGGCTTACCAGTGAGCAAATCAAAGTACTATCGACTGGTTCGGAAACTCTCCTGGTTTAAATCCAATCGAGAATCTGTGGTCAATCTGCAAGGAACGACTTCGTGGAATGGACATACGAAGTACTAACATGTGCACTGGGTCATTTTTCATTGGAAAAATAGGAAAAAAATGATATTAATATCGGAATAATTTGTTTTGTTTCAATTAATATGAATAAGGGTGTAATTAGTACTGTGAATGAAAACCAAGAAAAAGATGGAAGACACTATAAGTACTTTGGCTGACGATATGAAAGCAGCCAAACTAAAAGAAAACCTTTCAAATAAACATTATTTTCATCGGTATCACTCTATGTAAGGCAGTAAAAACATGTAAAGCCACAACGGGTTACAGGATGTGGAAGAATTATGAAGAGAAACATTAATAATGATCGAGAAAAGAAATCAGGAGGGCAGTAGATAGCGATTGACACTGCATTTTGTCAGATTAAAGTTGGTTAGAAAGTATGGAGCCGGAAGGGTGTTCCACAAGCGAGAAGTACGAGAAAGGATCACAGAAAATAGTCGAAAATCATATGAAAACCGAATTTCTAGAAAAGTTTTATTGGTGAATTTAGATTAATTTTCGGGAAGTTCAGTTTTCAATAGAAGTAGTCAAACAATTTAGAATATAAAAGGTGAAAAGCATTGAAGGCTTTAAATTATGTCTTTTCAAGGTGGATGATAGCTTGAAGTGAAATGAATGGAATCATTGTAAATTCTTGCATCATTTTTTTAGTAATACAGGTCACAAAGAAGTTTTAAACTGAAGAATATTCAGGCAATATTTTACATTCTGCAAAGCTGACTATTGAACACATCGGGAAAAATAAAACTCTTGAGGTACACCAAATTAATAGAATTGTTCACAACATTTCAGAGATTAATCCAATAGGAAAACTATTATCTAACATTTAGAGAAATGCAGATTAGAATGTAAACATATTAATGCAAAGATCAATATGAAGCAATGTAAACTACTGCAAATAATATTGTAGTCAAAATAGAAGTAAAGTTGAAAAAAAATCAATGGTTGAAAGACTGATACAAGTTATAGAATGTAAAAGAGACAATATTATATTTTGATTTTATTTATAAACACGATAGATTGAGTCTCAATTCAGCCTAAAGATTGCGTTGTGCATGAAACTCAGAATCGTGATACTGGTGAGGAAAAATGTACATTTTTTCAACATGCCTGGCCGCATGCACAATTCCGGAAAATCCTTGTTGAAAACACAACTATACTTAAACATGAAAACAATAAACAGAAACTAAAAATTCTTGAAGCTATATACATAAAACAGTTGAAACCTAACCTAAACAAAATAAACTATGAAATCTCCACAAATATTCTTAAATGTCTATAATTGGTAACGGAAGCCATTGGTTTATACGGCTTCTCGAATTCACTCTCGCGTGGTCATGTGTGACGTCATGAGCTGCGGTGCGATTTTCCCTTCTAGCGTCTTATATGTACGAGTTTGTTGTTGCTTGGAAATCTTCCATGTAAACAGAAACAGACTATCATCATTGTTTTGTCCGTGTATTGCTTAATATATTGCAATGTAATTGTCATCGTTGATAATGACTTATGTAAGCCGAAAGCTTAGATAGGATTAAAATATATGTATCAATATTGTGATTTTCTTTCTTCTTTTAATGATAACGTTATTAAGCTTATCAGACGATATGAAAAAAATTTCCATAAAATATATAGACAACACTTGTCTATATTATTTAATGAAACATGTATCAATATATATATGTGTGTGTGTGTGTGTGTTTGTGTGTGTGTGTGTGTGTGTGTGTGTGTAGGAAAGGTTTATAAATTTGACATGTTTCACTTTTATTTAAGCTTCGTGAGAAAATGAAATAAGGAGGAGAAAAGACAATTCTGGTATATATATATATATATATATATATATATATATATATATATATATATATAAATTATGCGATATAATGATAAATAAATTTCTATATATCAGAACAATGACAACTAATTGAGTGACAAGTGAAATTTATATATATATATGTGTGTGTGCTTAAAAAATTCAGATAGAATATATCTGTAAAAGGACAATATAAAAGCAAAAGGAAAATTTATCTTCGGCGACACGTTTTTTGCCTTGATAACGTCCATCAGAGGACGAAACGCGTCGACTAAGGTAAGTTTTTCTTTTCTCTTTATTCATATATATATATATATATATATAGTCACTGTGGATGCCATGTTTACGAAATACTTCCATGAAGACAATGTTTTATTTATGTTTTGCCAGGTTATATTAACAAATCCCTGTGCATATGTGTTTGTGTGTCTATGTGTGTATATGTGTTTGTGTGTGTATGTGTTTGTGCGTGTATGTGTTTGTGTGCATATGTGTTTGTGTGTGTGTATGTGTTTGTGCGTTTATGTCTGTGCGTGTGTGAGTGAATTATATCATTTATATTTCTAATGTCATCTAAAATTTAATTTCTATAATATAAATAATATAATAAATATATAAAGAATATAAGAAATATATAAATAAAATTTATATTTAGGTCTGTGTTTATATTTCTATATATACACATACAAGCATGTATAAAATATATGTATGTTTTTGTGTTTGGAAAAGCGCATATATGTATGTATGTCTGCGTGTGCATGACAGAGAGAGAGAAAGAGAGAGAGAGAGAGAAAGTTGTGACGCAAAACACAGTAGCCTATTATATGTGATGATAAGAGAGTAGGAAGTAGGATGGTTTGACCACTTTCCTTGTCACTGGCCATCTGTTGATGCTTCAACCATTGGTCATCCTTCACCACCACGCCCGGCAAAATTATGAAGACGAGGATTTGCCTGTCTCTTTGCTACACGCTCCGGACCCCTTTTTTTTTTTTTTTTTTCACACCCATTCCGCAGCCCCACCCGCTTCTCCCGCACATCACTTTCCCGATTTCTGCACTTTTGCTTGCGCTAACTTTTTTTCTCCTCTACCCAGAGTCAGAGTCAGTCAGCTTACCCGAGCAAGCTTTTCTCTTTCTCTTGTTTCTTTACTTGCCAACTGGCCCGACCAGTCAGTGTTGCCCTGCCGCTTCAACAATTCTCTGAATCAATTGTTTAACTTTCCCCCACTGGAGATTAGGCATGGCCGGAGGGGGGGGGGGCAGGGTAGAAGGGTGTCGGCGTTCTGATGTAAAAGGAGAACAAGTAAGTGTAAGTAATGCAAGCGAGTATTGGAAATGTTTGTTTGTGTGTTTGTTTGTGCTTGTGTTTGTTTGTGTGTGTGTGTGTGTGTGTGTGTGTGTGTGTGTGTGTGTGTGTGTGTGTGTGTGTGAAGATGCGGATAGGGTCGTTAATGTCAAGGGTGGAGTCGAGTACGATGATGATGCTTTTGCTAACAACAACAGTCACAAAGGCTGTATTTTTCAGCGCGACTCGTCGCTACCAAGTGTGACACAAGGTCAGTTTAAAATGCCTATAACGGCAATACCGTGGAAAAATTACTCCAGCCCCACCCCCCGGCACATCTCCTTTTAGGGACAACTCAAGCATTGAGCAATGAAGGAGTGGTACTGCCCGGGGGGGGGGGTATGTGCTCCCCCCTCTGGGACTTAAGCTTAATATTTTTTTTTAAAAAAACTTTCCCAGTGGCAGGCGGTAAGAACTAAAACGTAATTCTAATTATCGAAATGATAATAATAATTATGTTGAGGGTAAAAGTGAGACAAAAAACAATGCTGATGCAGTCTCTAATAGTGATGATAAGGTCGACAAAAACTGTAGAATGGAGAGCAGGAGTGAGAATAAGCAACAATGCCAGTATCATCACCACCAACAACAACAACAACACAACTACCAACACCAACAACACCAACAACAACAACAACACCAACAACAACAGATCTAAAGGACGACGCACCGTCACAGTTCAAATATCGTCTTTGTCCTTTTTGTTCTATTAACGAGTACAGGGCCGATGCGTACTACCTGCAAAGCGAGCTCCCCCTCCACGAGTTGTAGGGCTCAAGGCTGATCTTGGGAGAGGGGGTGACAGTGTTTTGCGTCCTTCGCTATCTTATCAATTTTTTTTTCTGCCTATATTTATATACGATTACAAATTAAACTAAAGCCCAACTGCCGAGGATGAAAAATCTTCGCCGATTTTGACGTCATTCTGGGCTTTTTTTTGTTTTTCGTTCAAATGTATGATTTTTTTTTTTCATGTTAAGTCTCGAAAAAAAAAAACTAGAGAAAATTTACTATTTTTTTTTTTACAAAATGTTGAATATGTAAAATTATTCGACTTTTTATGTAAAAAAAATTGCCGCAAAACATTGTTGAATGATCTATTATGGCATATCTCTCTAATTTCTATTTAGATATATTGTATTTTTTTTCGATTTTTTTTAATTGAATTGTTCACCTATATTGCATATGATCCATTATTGTACATAATTAGGTTACAATAAAATTTATATTTTATATGAATACTACCTTATGAAAATTGAGATGCATAAAGTGGGGAGCGGCGTATTATAGATTCGGGGAAGGGGAGGGGGACGACAACCTTGCACCGGCCCTGAATGAATATTAACGGAAGTTTGGATATCATCATCATCATCATCAACACTCCAGCTACGGTGTAGCGTCTGTTCTCTCTCTCTCTCTCTCTCTCTCTCTCTCTCTCTCTCTTCTCTCTCTCTCTCTTTCTCTCTCTCTCTCTCTCTCTCTCTCTCTCTCTCTCTCACTTTATTAATAATGAAGGGGCAGACGCTTTTGTCAATTATTTTACTCTCATGTTTCGTCAAGTGAAGTAAACAAGAGAAAGAGAGGGGGAAAGAGAGGGGGAAAGAGAGAGAGAGAGAGGCGGAACAATAGATACAGTTCATTCATGACAGCGAGGATAAGGGGTGAAGTGACTATGCTTTGGAAGAGACCTTTTTCACATGACCTCACCAACAACGCTTAGACTCGATTTAAGAAACAATGGGACGATGAAGATGAATACAACCTGTTAATTTATGTACAAAGAATACTAAGTCGCCCATTTTCTTAAACAAAAATAGTTTTTCAGAAATAAAAGCATAGTTCTACTTATTAATATTAACTAAACATATGTAGTAAATCCGATCGATTTTAGGCAATAAAAGCATCGTGTGATCTTGCGTCATACTTATCTCATAAATATCTATAATACATAATCGTCATGTCTCAATGATTACTAGCAAATTGACGTAACGGAGCACTGTTAGTTACAATCTTAATGAGTGCTTCACGTTTATAGCCTTATATCATGCTTGGCTAAACTTAGTAAATATCAGTACTTCCGGTGGATTAAATTTTTTTTAAAAAGCAGCAGCAGACACGACGGCGATGACGATGATGTTGAAGATAAAAAACTGTTGTATAACATCCGATACAACTATATGGATTGTTCTCTGCGAGTGAGAAAAGCGACTAATGATTAGATAGTTGTGTTGAATGAACAATATAAGAATGTGTTGAAATGGCGTTGGTTAAGGGCGTTTGATAGATTATTCTCGTCGGGAATGTGCGTTCAGCAGATACATTGGGATCGTTATCAGAATAAAACAAGAAGGCTGCAACAATGAAAGAAATAATAAAAGCCAATAAATATTGACAATGATTATCACAATAGAAATAATAAAAATAATAACGATCGAGATAACTTCTTATCTTTATTATTATTATTATTATTATTATTAACAGTTTGGATAACGTAGTGGTTCCTAAACGGAGCGGCACTCCTCATGGGTGCGTTGGTAGAGGATAGCAGGTGAGGCGGAAAAGGATAGCAGGTGAGGCGGAATGATTGAAAGACAATCAAAGATTTAGAAACAGTTTTTAAAAATTCATATGCCAAAAATAAATATGATTTCAAAAGTTAAAATATTAAGGATTACTTGTAATTACATGCATGAGTCCCAGGATAAATAGTTAGAAATAATTGTTGGCCAATTTTATTATTATGATATTTTTGTAATATATCAAGTATTAATATAACTATACTCTACATATTGGAGGAGAATGTTATCAATAATAATATTCTGACTTCGAATCCGCGGTTAGCTCCCTTTACCTCTCTCTCTGTTTTTTTTTTTTTTTTTTTTTTTTAATGTACTTTTTATCACATAAAATTTGGTGAGACGCGAGCAAATTTTTCAATCCCAATATGAGACCCCCCAAAAAAAAAAAAATTGGATGTATGCTACCACCGGTAGGATTATCAAACAAGTTAAACTTTTCATAAACTCCAAAGACTGCACAGAAAATCATGTGGTCGGAGAAAAATATAAAACAATAATGACAGTTATTGTCTATAACTTTAAGAAATATTCACAGTCTAGGCTTTATTTGAACAACTGCATTTCAATCCAAGCAAGGTAATAAAGCCACTAAGACGCAAAAGGGTTACTGTGTGAAAGAATATAAGCAGAAAAAACATTTTTAAGCAGCGAGAACAATAAAAGAACAGGAATTAAGAAGACAGAAGATAATGATTGACATTGCATTTAAATTTTTGATGATCAAATTTGACTGGAAAGCAAGGATCAAAAAGAGGGTTCCACAAGTAAGAATTTTTTGTTTCATCGATATTATTACGACGATATCTAAGCATATATTTCGTAAGAAAAGAAAAATTCCTTTCTGATCATTACAAATTTCTTCAGAATTATTTATTTAAGATTACTAAACTTTTTCCTCGTGGATTTGTAGTCCTGGGTATGACGAGAAACTACATCCGGCAACAAGGCCTCTGATCGGGTGATTAGCGGTTTTGAAGAGCCTGGAACCATCTCTTAATTGCTGTTGTTCCCAGGGTGATAGTACTTGTTAGGATCCTAGCTATGCGCAAACAGTGAACTCCCCACCAAAAAACAAAACCCTATGAAAGTATAAAAACACGTTTCTATAGTAAAAATACCAGCAATATATTTTTATATAAAAATTACCTACAATGCCTATTTATAGTAAAATTACCAACAATACATCAATCAACATGAAAGAACTCTTTCATGATATTTAATCCATATAATATTGTACAATTTTTTTAAAGAAATCAAACTGTATTCCATAATGTAGCTTCAACAAAACTACACATCACCGCCTCTAATAATTATGTCCACACAAACATGCATATGCAAAAAAAAAGCTGAGAATCATCTACCATGTATTCAATTGTGAATGCACAACAATATATTTTCATTACTTCAAATCTCCCAAGAAAATTAAATTTCGGCATTAAATGACCCATAAGGAGTTTGTTGTGGTAAACCCTCCTACAGTAGAATGAACTCTTCCTCCTCTCATAAATACTAACTGCGATAGTCGGTTGGGGAGAGTAGACGCAGTTTCTGCCTGTGCGCGACTTCTGTCGAACTCTCTGCTTTGGCAAAGAGGAACCCGGACGAATCTATGCCGAAGGACAGAGTTTCGTCCGGGTAGGTAGACAGACCCTGAACCCGTTTATACGGGTTCTAAGGGTATATTTTTGGTCGAGCCTACGGGTAAACTCGGCCTTGTGCCACATACAACCCTCGTGGTGGGGGCTGTTAAATATAGCGTAGGCGCAGTGCTAACCTACCGTTCGGACGTCCACCTCTATCTGCTTATTACTAACACTCTTGCTTTGTATATATTTGTTATTTCAATACACTTGTTCAACCTACCTTCGTCTTCCGTCTCTTTATTTCTGGCTCCTAAATAGGCCACAACAGAGTTGACATGGCTTTCAATCAAACAAATTAATCAATCGATTACTGTAAGTAATAGAATCACAACTTTGGTGAAAATAATAGATAAAGATCAAAGAACAGTCAAAAGAAAAATTGAAAACATTAGTACAACAACAAAAAAACTAAAAGGCTAATAAAGAAGAAAAGTGGATTGACCAGCAAAGGAAATATTTGAATGCAAACTGAAAATATGCAAAATATTAAGAACACGAAAGACGTGATGGCAACCAAACTATCAGCCTTAAGTAAACATCACTGAGTTAAGCGAAGAAGTACATGAAAACCGAATTCACAACAGTAATTTTTAGTGATGAATGTAGAGCTACTTTGGATGGATTTGATGGCTGGGTTAAGGGCTGGGCCTTTCAGAAAAATAGTCAAAAATACGTCTTTGAAAGCAGTTAACTTATAAGGTACCTTCAATGTTGATTGCGTCAATATAAATGTAGAGAATTATACCAAAATCTTGGAATATTTTTGAGTAATACAAGTCACAACTAAGAGACATTGAGCTGAAGAGAATTATTCATACAAGATTTTCCTTCATATTCTGAAAACCTCGCCTACCTTGCCAAAAGAGATTGCAAACATACAAAGGGATCCTCACCCAACCGACTGACCAGTGACTACCTTACGTTGCGCCTTCGTTTTCGTTCGCGTCAGTGTGCATCAAAAACTGGGAAAAGCTTGCTGCACGTTCACAAGGAAACGAAAGATGGAAACAAACATCACAGCGAGAAAAAGAGAACTCGGAGCCTGTTTCCAATACATTTTGGGGTTTCACTCTGTTGGATTTGACAGGTAGGTAGGTGACATTTGGAACAACTTCTGCTATATTAATCAAATAGCTCAGCATTTCCCTTCTACCAACTGCCTGACCATCTTGACAATTAGCTGACAGTACGAATGGCCGGCATCGGAACTACACGATGGAAAATATTCACAAGAACTGACTTCTCCAATCCTAACCGTCACTGTTAATATAGACCAGCAACCGGAAATCATCAAGATCCGGCTTTATTGTCACTTGACACCAAATGCTTTCTTATACGTATTTGTTCATTTGTTCTCCTTTGGTAAAGTTGGTGCCACTTAGAAGACCCGACATCAAAGACTTTATCTACCAGCTATAGTATGGAAACACCTGAGATTGAGATAAAATCACACCTTTCTCTTCTAAGTAGGTGTCCAACCATAGTCACAAGGTTTCAAAAATACAAAATTATCGGAATGGCTTTCTCGCCTTTCCAAATATATCCGATAAAAATCTTGCGTTTTATCTTTAAAATATATATACACTACAGTTTAAAGTTTGAAGCCCCCCAACCCCACAGAATTATTATGAGATGAACTTAACAGAAGAGTGAAAAAAAATGAAAAAGAGCTCTTACAGTCATTGAAAAAGGCATGGAATGAATTATCCAACTTATATTTTGAGAAAATTTTCCTACGAAGGCTAAAAATTTGCGCTGCAGTAATCAAGGCTAAAGGAGGATATTTTGACGAGAGTAAAACTTAATCATAAAATGATTTTTGTCATAATAAAATTTCCAATAAAAATCATGTCTCACTTTTTTTTTTAACCATGTATAATAATTTTCTCTTATTTAAAACACAAAACAACTACTTTGGGGGCCAATTGAAAAAATAGCAGGGGTTGCCTTGAACTTTTGAACTGTAGTGTATATGAGGATGGAAAATAATATTGAAGCAATGAAGATCTCAGGGAAGCAATAAATACCACAAATTATGTTAAAGATTGACCCGTTGGAAAGTCGATAAAATCTATTGATGGATCAGTAAGCTCAGTATTAATATATAAGATAAGAATGTAGTAATTTATTAACGTATATGAGATATTGTATAAACCAATGTTATGTTTCTGTTACATATATCTTTTAAATGTATTTATAAATAAAACAAAATTATGTTGTACTTTGTTAATATAATAAAACTTGAAAGTAAAATCTTGAATCAATTGAAATACGTATTGAGATTATAATTTTATTCTCTTTTAAAATATGTACAGCTCTTTAGGCGGGAAGAATACATATCTCTGATTTAATCTTCCTTTCTGTCTACGTCTCTCTCTCTCTCTCTCTTTCTCTCTCTCTCTCTATCTATCTATCTAACGCTCCCTCCCACTCTCGCCTCACGCTCCCTCCCTCCCTCTCACGCTCCCTCCCCCTCTCTCCCCTCACACTTCCTCCCTCCCTCTCTCCCTCACGCTCCTTTCCTCTCTCTCCCCACACGCTCCCTCACTCTCTCTCACCATCCACTCCCTCCCTCCCTCCCTCTCTCTCACACCCCTCCTCTCTCTCTCTCCTCCCTCCCTCCCTCTCTCCCCTCCCTCCCCTCCCTGTCACGCTCCCTCCCTCCTTCTCTCTCTCCTCACGCTCACTCTCTGCCTCACGCTCCCCTCTCTCTCTCGCCATCACACTCCCTCCCTCTCTCTCCCTCACGCTTCCTCCATCCCTCTCTCTCTCACGCTCCATCCCTCTCTCTCTCCCTCACGCTCCCTCCCTCCCTCTCTCTCTCACTCTCTCTCTCCCTCACGCTCCCGCCATCCCTCTCTCTCACGCTCCCTCTCTCTCTCTCTTTCACGCTTCCTCCCTCTCTCTCTCTCACGCTCCCTCCCTCTTTCTCTCTCACATTCCCTCCCTCTCTCTCTCTCTCTCTCCCTCTCTCTCTTTTAAACATTGCTCTTTACATGCACAGATAGATACGATGTACTTAGGACTTCATTGATTTTAAGATCAATAAATCCTTTGGCCTGTTCGATTATAAGTAGAATTATTTTTAATTTAAAATTTTCACTCTCTAACATCAGTCGTTGTCATTAATAATCAGCAGGAGAATATATTGAAAAAAATATTTAAAGTGCAAAAGAAATTCACTTTTCTAAGCCTACGGACTTCTTGATTTACCTCCCTACTGAATTAAGTGCGTTGACAAGGAAAGCGATATGGCTGAAAAATACTATTTTCTTACTTAAACGACGGGCTTATTGATATACTCTATTCTCACCCTACTGAACTACTGTGTTGACAAGGAAATAGAATGAAAAAAAATTACTATTTTTATCATTAGACTACGGACTTATTGATATACCTACCTATTCCTTACTGAATTAAGTGCATTGACAAGGAAAGAGATATGCCTGAAAAAATACTCTTTTCTTCCTTAAAGGTGGACTTGTTGATATATCTGTCGATATATCTGACATGAGGTATTGTACTTATTTCGTTTGTTCGGACTGTTTTCCTCATCGTTATTTACGACGTTTCGGCCATCTTCAAGTGATTGTTATTACGAACTGAGGACTTTATTTCGTTCACCGGGGAACAGTCTCCTAGTTCCACGTGCCATGTCGCTTCAGAATGTCTCAGTTACTTCCCTTTAACTCAATTCTCCAAGTATTTTGTTCACCGCTGCTGTAGTTAGGTATTGAACTCACAGTTCATTGGGTCAAAAGTCACTGGATTCAACCAACTTTTATCCGCTGGGTCATGTGTCCTTGAGGACAACAGTGTATGTATTTTTGGGACTTATAAAATTCATTTCTTTATAAAATTAATTTCTACCAGAGCTCATATTGCAATTTTGTTTTTCTCTAGCACTTCGTATTACTGGTTCACATAGTGTATTCATTTCTATGCTTGGCCGGTTTAAGAAATTTTTGTGACTGATTCCTTAAGTTTTCGTATTTGCCAGTGATGTTCCCTGTCTATTATTTCAACCTCATCCCACAGAGGGCGCTGATCTCGCTTTTCCCTCCATATATGGTCAGCCAAACCTGATTTTTCTATTTCCTTTCGTGTTACGGCTTTACGATATTCTCACAGTCATATTTTAAGGAGACGGCCTTTTTCTCTTTTATATTTCTTACCACAGCTGCATGGGATGTCGTATACACAGTACTTAGTCATGTTTTCCTTTATGGAAGTTCTTACTCGGAAGAGGTGTCTGCGAAGTCTCGAACCACTTTTGAAGGTCGTCTTGATATTATATGGACCACAGATCTTTTGCATTCTCTCTGATAATCCCTTCACATAAGGTAAGCAGCCTGAAGCTGTTTTCTGAGTGTTGTTACCCTCCTATCCTAGTTTGTCAGAGCTGCGGCCATGTACCCAGGATAGCTGTTATGATGTAGGGTACTGCTTATACTGGCTATTTCTTGTTCATATATCTCTGGGTCGCCACTTATGAATTTTGTTCGATGTTATAAGCAGCGGGCGATTTCTTTCTTTACACTGCATGGGTGGTGGGAGTTGAAGTTGAGGTAGTGTCCGGTGAATGTTAGCTTGCGGTATACGGATGTCTTGAAGCCATTCTCTGTTCGAGATATTAGTGCATCCAGGAATGCTAGTTTGTTGGCGTTTTCTCTCTCTCTTGTGAACTGTATCGATGATCTTGAGTTCACATGGTCCAGTGGTATCTGGATCTCTTCCTTGTGTGCCCAGAGTATAAAGTCGTCATCTACGTATCTCAGCCATAGGGTTGGCTTTAGTGATGTGGATTCTAATGCCATTTCTTCGAAGTATTCCATGTATATGTTTGTCATTGCTGATGATAAGCCTTGATCCTGTTGATATATGTCTGATCCCATTCTAAAGTCTGTTTGTGTACAGAAAGTCAGCATCTCCATCATGTTGCCTATTGGTATACTGCTCCGTTCCCTAGGGATGAGTCTGAGACAAGTCTGCCCCTGACTATCGATAGTGGCTCTTCCGTGGTTACTTTGATGAACAAATTCCACATCCAGGCTCACCATCTTGTAGGATTGAATGAGAGCATCTTTGAACGCACCGATCCAATCTGATTTTATTCTGAAAAATACTCTTTTCTTCTTAAGACGATGGAATATTGATATATCTATCGATTCCTTACTGAATTAAGTGCGTTGACATGGAAAGAGATAAGTCTGAAAAAATACTCTTTTTATCATTAGGGGACTGACTTATTGATGTACCTACTTATTCTTTATTGAAATAAATGCGTTGACAATGAAAGATATAGGCCTGAAAAATACTCTTTTCATCATTAGACTACGGACTTTTTGACATACTTACCTACTCCCTACTGAATTAAGTGCGTTGACAAGGAAAGAGATAAGGCTGAAAAAAATACTCTTTTTATCATTAGGGGACGGACTTATTGATGTAGCAACGTATATCCATATTTTGAATTACCTACTTACTGATACTAGTCTTAAAACAATGAAAGAATTTTGAATCATTACTGTTTT